AGAAACAACTATGTATTCTGCTTCGCATGATGATAATGCCACTACTGGTTCCTTTCTTGAATTCCAAGCAACTGGTGCACCACCTAGAATAAACACATATCCTGTTGTTGACTTTCGATCTTCAGCATAACTACACCAACTTGAATCAGTGTATTCCACTAACTTGCATTCTTTTCCTTTATCATCTATAAGAAATAAAATGCCATAATCTAAAGTTCCTTTGAGATACCTTAGTATCCTCTTCATTGCTGCTAGATGTGATACCTTTGGCTTCTGCATGAATCTACTTACCATACATACACTGTATGTTAAGCCAGGCCTTGTATGACAAAGATATCTCAATAATCCAATAAGTCTTCTGTATTGGGTTGGATCAACATCATCTTCACCTGCATCTTTCGACAGTTGCAGTCTTGGTTCTGCAGGTGTCAAAGTTGAGTTGCATTCTTCCATCTCAAACCTCTTGAGAATTTCTCCTGCATATCTTCTTTGATGCATCATCAAACCTCTACTGCTCTTGTAGATTTTGATTCCAAGGAAATATGAAATCTCACCCAAATTATACATTTCGAATTCCTTGCTGAGATCACCTTTGAAGTCTTCGATCTCACTCTTGCAGCTACCTGTTATCAATAAATCATCTACATAGAGACATAGTATAAGCAATTTACTCTTGCGTCTTCTTACATATATTCCATGTTCAGTTGTGCACTTCACAAATTCCTTCTCCCTTAGAAAACTATCAATTTTCTTATTCCAAGCCCTTGGAGCTTGTTTCAATCCATACAGGGCTTTATGCAGCCTGTACACCTTTCTTTCTTCGTCATGTTTCACAAACCCAACTGGTTGTTTAACATAGACTTCTTCATCTAAGGGTTCATTTAGTAATTCACACTTCACGTCCATCTGACATATGTGCCAACTGTTTATTTCTTCTAGACCAACAACCAACCTGATTGTTTCGATCCTAGCAACAGATACAAAAACTTCATCGAAGTCTATTCCTTCTTTCTGTAGAAATCCTTTCGCCACAAGCCTTGCTTTGTATCGAGTTACTTCGCCTTTCGAACTCGTTTTCACTTTGTATACCCACTTGACATCAATTGTCTTCTTTCCTTGAGGCAATTCGACAAGTGACCAAGTGTTGTTGTCTTTGATAGACTTCACTTCTTCGTTCATTGCTTTCACCCACTTCGAATCCTTCAACGCTTCAGCTGCATTAACAGGTTCGACATCTGCATAGAAAGCATAATGTATCAGTTCACCTTCATTATCTATTACATCATTTGATGTAATCACATAATCTTGCAATCTTGCAGGAATGCGTCTTGTTCTTTGAGGTCTGCTTGTACTTGGTATATCTGTTGGTTCCTCTTGTCGAACTTCACTTTCGACTTGAGTTTTTGGCTCTTCGAATAGGATTTCCACTGAATCTTTCTTGACATTTTTAGTCCAATCCCATTATTTAAACTCATCTATGATCACGTCTCTGCTGATTACAATCTTATTGTTCTCTGGATCAAACAACTTGTAGCCTCCTATCAAATGATATCCATCTAGAATCATTTGACTTGACTTGTCATCAAGTTTTCTTCTCAACTGATTTGGCACATGTCTATGTGCAATAGATCCAAATACCTTCAGATGACTCAAGCTAGGCTTCACACCAGACCAACATTCTTCTGGAGTAATTCCTTCTAGCTTCTTTGTAGGACATCTATTCAAAACGTATGTTGCAGTCGAAACAGCTTCACCCCAAAACTCTTTAGGTAAATTCTTGCCTTTCAACATACTTCTCACCATATTCATGATGGTTCGATTCTTCCTTTCTGCAATTCCATTTTGTTGTGGAGTATAGGGTGGCACCACCTTATGCACAATCCCTTCCTTTTCACATAGTATGTCGAAGTCTTTCGACACATATTCTCCACCACCATCAGTTCTCAAAACTTTGAGCTTTCGACCACTTTGTCTTTCGACCATAGACTTAAACTTGGCAAATACTTCGATCACTTCACTTTTCTTCTTGATCAGATAAGTCCACAGCTTTCGACTAAAATCATCTATGAATGTAACAAAGTATTTATTACCTCCCATCGAATCCACCTGGATTGGTCCACATACATTAGAGTATATGACTTCAAGAATAGCCTTCGATCTGCTTCCTGCATCCTTGCTGAAGCTATTCTTGTGTTGCTTCGCCTGCACATATTCCTCACATACTTCGTTTGGAATGTCAATTTCAGGCAATCCTGAAACCATATTTTTTCTCTTCAAATCTCTGATGTCTCTGAAGTTGAGATGACCTAGTCTATAATGCCATATCTATTCATCTCTGCCAGCTGCATTTGAAAGGCACTTGTGCTCCATCACATTTAGTTCAATCTTGAAAGTTCGATTCTGAGATATAGGAGCCTTCAAGATTAATCTCTCATTTGCATAAATGACTCTCATCATCTTATCTTCGATTGATACTTTATAATTCTTTTCGACCAACTGCCCGATACTGAGAAAATTTCTCTTCATGTCTGGTATGTACAACACATTAGAAATTACTGACCTCTTGCCATCTTTCCTCATAATCATAACAACACCAATACCTTCAACTGCTAGGGTATTATCATTTGAAAATTTTACCATATTTTTCATTGAGGGTTTTATATTGACAAACCAGACTTTCCTGAGTCCAAGTACCATTGGTCCTTGAATCTATCTTCATCTTTTGTTGTGACCATCAACATCATCTCTTCTTCTTCTTCTTCTTCTTCTTCTTCGTGTTTTACAAGTTTTACATCATTTTCTTGATTCTTTCGTTTTTCTGGATAATTACTCGAATAATTACCATACTTTTGACAATTGTAGCATTGAATGTGACTCTTATCAGGTTTTCGACCACCACCTCTTCCTCTATTTGCAACACCACCTCTTTGGTTTCCTTGGTATGGTCTTCTTTGATTCGACATGTTTCCTTTGATCTGGTTTCCTCTACCATTCGATTTGTTGTAGCCACCTCTACCTCTGTCGAAACACTTTCATTTGCATTTGGCCTCTTTTGCTGAATGTGCCTGCAAGGCCACATCACTCTTCGATTTGCCTGCAACTCTTTCGTTCATTATTTTTCATGAGATTCAAGCGTCCCTTGAAGCTCTTCCTTTGTCAATTTCGACAATTCTTTCCCCTCTTCTATCGCCACCACTATGTGGTTGAACTTAGGAGCTAAAGATCTCAAGATCTTCGAAACAACAACTCTTATTGTTAACGCTTCTCCACGTATCTTGATTTGATTTACTAGTTTTGTAACTCTAGTGAAGAAATCAGATATGCTTTCACTGTCTTCCATCTGAAGCAGTTCATACGTCCTTTTGTGAGTTTGTACCCTCACTTCTTTCACCTTCTCAGCACCTCTAAAAGACTTCTCAAGGATTTCCCAAGCTTCTTTTGCAGATTCTGAATCACTAACCTTTTCGAAATTGTTTGGGCTGACACATCGATGAATTATAAATAATGCTTTATAACTCAGCTTCTCAGATTCTGTATATTTCTTCTTTTCTTCTTCTGAAGCGTTTTCTCCAAGCACTTCGACTCCTTCTTTTACAAGGTCTCAAAGACCTTGACACCTGAATAAGATTTTCATCTGTTTGCACCAATTCTCATAGTTGTCAACTTTCAGAATTGGTAGGGTTGCTGGATAGTTTGTATTCCCATAACTTGTCATCGTGAATTCTTCAATCGTTCTTGATTGACACTTCCCTCGAATCGATTAACCGAGCTTTTGATACCAGATGTTGGAAATCCACCAAAGTCTATGATGAATTTCTACCACAATAACAATTTAATTATGAGACAAACAAAGAAAAGAAGACAAGACAAATAATTTCTGCAGAGTTTCTCTCTGCTCACAAACTGTGAAAACTTTGTTATTCACTTGCAACTGTAAATTCTGTGAATACAACTTGCTTGACTTGCTTGCAAAAATAGGGGTTACTCCCTCTGTTTATAACTAAGCTTACACCCGAAACCCAAAGCCCAAAATATATTTTTGTTACTAAATCAAATCTAATTTATTCTAGACTTAAATCAAATCTATTTAAATCTAAAACAAATCAAATCTTTTTGACACATAGTTTCGACACACTGGATTATAATTTAACAATAACAATGATGGAAATATAAATTGCTTTAAGTTATGGTAAAATTTTCAAGTGATGAGTTAAATTCCTTCATAAAAAACACAATTCAAGTTTCTTTCCAGGCCCGTTGGATTAGATTTGAAGAATTTGAGATTCAAATAATTTTTTCAAATTATAATTCAACTTTCATGATTAAAGATTTAAGAATTGGTAAAAGATTTGTTTCAACTTAACCAAAAGTTTTTGTGAGAGAGATCTTTGTTATCTATTGTTGCAGAAAGAATCAATCTTGGTAATTGCAGTATGAGATATCTAATTTTTATCGGGGAAAATTCCATGATTTGAAACACATCAAGTTTCTTTTTTTGATCTCTTGGTTTCGATTCTAAGAATGTGAGATTTAAATCCAACTCTATTTGTGTGATTTTTTTAACAACACCTTTAAATTTACTTAAATATCGATATCATCAATCAACTAAATAATATAATTCAATACCACACCACTTTTTTATTCTATTTTATTTTGTGTAAATATTTTATCTAATTAGTTTGTAAATTTTCACATGTAATTCAGAAGTTAATTTTAATAATTATTGATCTCAAATTGCCGCCAATTTAAAGAGTGTCTGGCAGTAGATTGATTTTGGTAGTAAAATAATATTTCAAAGCATTTTCACCTGCTCATATATGAGTAAGGAAAAAGAACATGAGAAAAGACCAAGAGAAATAGATAAAAGGTAGTTACTTCTAATGATGATTATTTTAAATTAAATTCAATTAAAAAATGATTCATTCAAATATATGTTTAGACCTATATAAACATGCATCATTTTCACAATAAAGTTATGTTAAGAATCAAAATTTGAGACCATGAGAACTATAGGCTTTTCACTCATAGTGTTCATCTTTGTGTTTGTTGAGTTTGTGGATTCTCTTAATCGTACCAATTTTCCTAAAGGTTTCTTATTTGGAAGTGCCTCATCTTCTTACCAGGTTTATAAATGTGATTTTATTATTATAGATATTGAAAATATATTTAATTATTTAAAATAAATTTAAAATTTAAAATATTTTTCTTGAAACAAATATTTATAAAGTATTTGATATTTTTCTTATGCAATGGGATTATTATTATGTATGAAATTGAAGTATGAAGGAGCATCAAATGAAGGGGGAAGGAGACCAAGTATATGGGACACGTTCACACACAATAATCCAGGTAAATAAATTCCCCTTAATAAATTATTATTGTCACAATCCATAATCTTTCTTTTTCTTTTGGATTCTTGATCTTTTCATTTTCTCAAAGTAGGTAAACTGAGGGAATAAAATCAGTTGGGTAGTTATTAAATTAGTTACAAGTTAGTTTAAAAAGGTAGTTAGGTTATTTATTATAAATGCAATCTACATGTGTCTTTGTCGAACATCTGACATGTCTTCCATCAGGTAAGATCGAGGATCAAAGCAGTGGAGTCATTGCTGATGATTCTTATCATCGTTACATGGTAGATATTTCCTTGCCTCTTAACATGTGTGCGTATAAAAATTCATAATGTATTTGATATTATTCGTATTTTGAAAATAATTTTGCGATTAAAAAATGAGTAGTGGCGCAGTTTATTATTCGTTTGTCTTCTAATTCTGTATATACTTTTATTAACTTTTGCAGGAAGATGCGAGTATAATGAAAGACATAGGATTTGATGCATACAAATTCTCTATTTCATGGTCAAGGATTCTACCCGGTGAGAACAAATATTCAGCTTGTTTAACTTTTTCGAGTCTCAATTCAATTGTTTTCGAGTAATGGTTTATATTATGATCGACTATATATTGTATGAACCCTAATTTCGTGATTCAACATTGGTCATACATTTGGTTTAGGTGGAAACTTGAGGGGAGGTATCAATAGAGAAGGCATCACCTATTACAACAATCTTATCGATGAACTCCTTTCGAATGGTATGAGTTAATCTTTCTCGAGGAAACAATCATTTTGATCTTTGAATGTGTCGGTGCAACCGTAATAGTCCTTGAATATATCTCTAGGTTTGCAGTTATTTGTAACTTTATTTCATTGGGATCTTCCTCAAGCCCTTGAAGACAAATACAGTGGTTTTTTAAGCCCGAATATCGTGTAAGTAAGGTTTTTATGTTTTGAATCTCTATTTAGTGTATATTGATTCATGAAGTTGAGTTTCCTCGATCATAATCCTTTTGAGTCGGTTTAAACCGTTCATCAGGAACGATTTTGCAGACTACGCAGAGCTTTGTTATAGGGAATTTGGAGATAGAGTGAAGAATTGGATTACGGTAAATGAGCCACTCACTTACACGACTCAGGGTTATGGAAATGGATTATTTGCACCGGGGAGATGTTCGAAGTGGCTGCCATTGAACTGCAGTGCAGGGAATTCTAGTACTGAACCATATTTGGTTACTCACCACCAGATTCTAGCTCATGCAGCTGCTTTCAAAGTCTATAAGGACAAGTATCAGGTAAGTATCATATAAGCCACTTTTGTATTGCATTAGAATATAGATACTTTACGAAGCATCGATACAAACACAGACACAGTAGATGATACCTGAACAAGAATTTGGTATTGTTTCAGAAAATAAAAATGACTATATGTAAATATTGTGTTGGTGTTAGATACCGACTGAGATACTTCAATATAGGACACTGACATGAAGCCACTTTTGTATTGCACGACAAAAAGACACCTATAAAACACAGACATAAACACGGACACATTACAACATACTAACACAAACACTTTAAATAAGAAATGAACGTAATTGACTATAACTACATGTGTCAATATCGTGTTGGTGTTGAACAATTAGACGTTCTCAAAACAACTAACAAGCCTTGATAATTGCTTATTTTATTTAGATTTCTCAAAAGGGACAAATTGGAATAACATTGAATACTCCATGGATATTGCCACATTCACAATCAAAGGCAGACACAGATGCAGCATCTAGAGCCCTTGTTTTCTTGTATGACTGGTAAACTTTCAAAATCATTCTTCTTTTTGCTTGTCATCAAGTACCACAGTGATAGCGTTTCACATATTCAATTACCAAAATAATCATTTATACCGATAAGCCGATAACATGATATTTTTCTGACAATCTGCCTTAATAGAAGTTGTTTCATAATGTATGAGGTTTATGGAGCCACTAAAGTCAGGATCATACCCTATTGAAATGGTCAATAACACCGGTGAAAGGTTGCCTAAATTTTCAAGGGAACAATCCTTGATGGTTAAAGGATCCTTTGATTTCATAGGAATTAACTATTATACAGCAAATTATGCAGTCAATGCCCCTTGCATAACCGAAAACCAAACTATCTTTTCAGATGCTTGTGTTTACTTCACAAGTAAGACACAATAAGTGAAAAGTAATTTTCGGTTTTCACTTTGATCTTGTGTTTCACAATGCATTTGGTAACTTAATATCTTGTTTGTTGCTTGCATCAGCAATGCGCGATGGAGTTCAGATTGGTCCAAAGGTAAGTTTATTCTTTCTGATATGAAGTGTAAAAAAAGACACATATACCTGAAATGACACTGATGCTAGCACGTCGATTCATACTAACTTAAGAAAATGAATTAATAGAATGTAGTCGTATGTGCTAGAGTCTAACAATAACACATGTTGGGAATCATACACATATTCGATCAGAAGTGTCGATGCTACATAGGACACGATTCTGACGCATCGATACTGGTAATAATTTGTGTAAATTGAAAGTAGATATACGTGTTGGACATCTGACATACCTTCGATCCAAAGTGTCATTGTTGCATAGTATTTTGAGCTGTATATCACATTCGATAAATCAGTTGAATGTAATCAAATGTGTCTGTGTCAAAATCGACACATGTTGGACACTAAACACGTCTTCTATCATAAGTGTTTGTGTGACACAGGATATGAGTATGACACATTGAATCGTAATAATAGAGATCAATTAATTTGAGAGTATTGAATTCACAGGCTGGTTCAGACTGGTTATACATTTATCCTAGAGGAATTCAAGAACTTTTGCTTTATACAAAGGAAAAATTCAACAATCCAGTCATTTACATAACAGAAAATGGTAACGAATCTCTACCGATTAAAATTTTCTCTTTTTTCACCTAACGAATTAACAATATGTATGCATTTTGATCTTAACACAGGAGTTGATGAAATTAATGATGGCACAAGATCACTCGAGGACAACATGAGAATTGACTATATTAATAACCATCTTTACTATGTCCATAGTGCCATACAGTGAGTTTTTCATCTTTGTTTTTCGTTTTATAACCCGTAAAGAGGACTTAAAATGAGTAGTTTTTGTAAAATGATTAAAATTGAACAGTCGTAATTTTATAAGGACTAAAAATATGTATTTTTGACAGGAATGGTGTGAATGTGAAAGGCTATTTTGTATGGTCGTTGTTGGACAATTTCGAATGGGCGGAAGGATATACGGTCCGATTTGGAATTGTTTATGTTGATTATAAGGATGGATTGAAGAGATATCTTAAGAAATCAGCTGAGTGGTTCAAAAAAATTCTTCATTAATGGAATTGATCATGTACTATTCTTAAACTTGTTAGTTATTTAGATAACTTGGTAAAAGAGGCCAATTTTTGAGTTTTGGTACTTTTTAATTTAGCTTTTGTATTCAATGTTGAATTTAATAATTTGAGAGATTCTAAGAAATAGAGTAATTAATAATTATTATTCAAGTCCATTTGGTGGAATTTTTATTTCTTTAGGAATGACTTTGATTGGAACAAGAAACCAAATGTACTAAAGGAGTATGAAGAAGAGTGCAAGTTCATAGAGTTAGACTTAAGGGAAGACAATTAACCAAGCAATGTGACATAACTTGGAAATCAGTTGACACTAGATGAACCTAGTAGACGCACCCAAACACTTCCTTGATGAAGAATTGACTAACTTTTACTATCAGATCATGAACTTTTGGTTAAAGAATCCAAGAGCAACATACTATAGATTGATGGACAAATTATTTGACAAGCTGATTGGTGAAAACATTGAAATTTATATAAAGTCGTGTGAAGTTTACGAGTTAAAATTAGAGTTTCATGTAGTTCATTCTTACAAAATCAAATTGTAAGATAAAGATTGCCTCTATTTATAATTATATAATCATATGGTCAAGTTATATGTTGTTTGATGTTGGACTCTTTTAACACACATTTTCATCCCTAAGATGGATTGAGCATTTGAAATATGTACATAAATGATAGGTGACCCAATAAAGAAAATCTGACGAAGGTGGTCCAATAAATTTCAAATCAAGCTCTAATATCATGTCAGAATTATAGTTTGACCAAACTCACTCATACAAAATTATATTTTAAGGTGTGAATTGTTTTCACTTATAAAAACAAATTCAACATATTAAATACTACTTCCGTCCTTAAATATAAGATTCCGTAGGCAAAATTACGCTAATTAAAAAAGTTGGTTAGAGTATTAAATTTATTGACTATTTATACGATTTTACAAGTTTATTCTTAAGAGAGAGAAATAATTGATGTTTATACAAATATATTTATTACTGATTGCAGAAAAGTTGTAATATAATTAGGGGCATGTTTAAAAAAAATTAATATATTTTAAAAATTAAAGAGAGTCTTATAAAAAAAGACAAGAAAAAATCTTAAGAGGATCTTATAATTAGAGAAAGAGATAATAATATGTAATTGATTTTTTGATATAGTTGGAATAAGGGTAATTTAGTCTATTAATGTTTTATTATAAATTTTCTTTGTAATCTTTATTTTCATTAGTTATGCTATTCACATTATAGAAATTTTAGTCTTTTCTCTTTTCCTACTATGTCATCTCTATTGTTAACATAATATCTAGAGATTGTTTAGACCCTTTCTTGAATTATTCATAGCTTCCGTTCCAAAAA